TCTCTAATGGTCAACTATACAATATGTCTATATCAACTACTAATTAAGTAGTACATTATCTTGTGACAATTGGTCCTGATTATTAACGTTAACATGAATACAAAAAATATGGATATCAGATTTTGATTAAAAAATTGTACATCCATTTTAGAAGTTTAAGTATTGGAAATAGACTACGTGTAATTGGTATTATTGTGAAGTCCAAAGTTTTAGTCATTATTCAATTTTACATTTCACTATAAAGTATAGGTAGATACATTAAACAAGTACAACTGATGTAAATGTGTAATTATACAGTAAAATACGTGTTTATATATTATATATGTGTAATATATAGGTTTACACTAAACTATAATATGTATATAGGTTATTACATAAAAGTAAAGGAACTGACACAAACATCATTTATTACGATGAATATAAAGTAGATACATAGCCAACATTAATAATATATAAACTGGGCCAGTACTTATTATCACAAATTATATACATTTTAATATATTCTAACGAAACACTATATTAACAACTATAGGGATAGGGTTTATCGTTTGGACATTTTATCGTATCGATTCCGATCGCCTTCGATATTTATATTATGTATTTGTTCAATTTATATATTAACTGGACAAGAGCTATTTGTAAAATTATAATATTATTGCAACGGATGTATAATATATACAGCATGCTTGTATAGCTAAAACCGAGAAAGTCTATATATAGTGTATATTTATACCACCATGTAGTGGACATTAGGTAGCGTTTTTCTGAAACCTACATATTGCTATGGGTCACAAGGATATTGGTAGCGTGACTATCAAAGAAAACACTCACTTATTATCATTGTGGTCCGCTTTATAATAATAATGAGCATTGACATTCCATACAATCGTATACCGTTACTAATATTCGATTTGAAAAGGATGAAAAAACAATGGTTTTTAGGCGAGGTACCCTATAAGTATATTTTTTCTAAGCGATATCGCAATAGAAACTTTGTTTCGGGGGGGACAACTGTTATATCGTATTTCTTTTATATAAATATAATTTGAAATCGAGTCTAACGTGTTGTCTTCTTTTACGAGAGTGAAAAAAAAACATTCATAATACGTATTGCCTATACAAACCAGACGCGATTTATTACCTTGTTCTATAAAGTAAAAAGCCATTGTTTTTACTTTTTTTGTTAGTAATCAAATGTGATAAATAGTTTTACTCGAAAATGAGTTGATAAAAATTTAGCAGTGATTGGGATATGGTTATGTTTTTAAATGGAAAATGGTAATTTACATTCAAACGATGCCATATCGCACCATGGATAGTATAGCCTATAGTTACTTATAAATGTATAATACAAAGCATTTGTATGCCATTATTTATTATATTTTGGCGATCGCTATTCAGTAAACCAAAGGTTAAGATTGAGTTAATTTATTCAATAGAGGAACGCAGTTAAAAAAACTGATAGAAATTTTAACCTACTGAAGAATAATATGTATATAAAAACCATTATTTATTTTCTTATTTAAAAACAATTTTTTTTTTTTTTTTGAGGTTTTATACATCTTAAAACACAGTATTATAATGTTGTATTAGAATGTTCAATATGAGTATATTTTATTCCTACTCAATATGTATCATAGTTTATACTTTATTTAGAAGGTATTTAATGTTTATCTTTCATATTTTTAAATTAATGAAATGGTTCTAAATTTCTAATGAATTCAATTGAAAATGCTACAAAAGTACAAAATATAAATAATTAAAACATAATGGAATAATATAATATTTTGAATATTGTGATTTGTGGATTTTCACTATTGTAGTAATGGTGTATGGTTGATGTAATGTTTGATTATATACATTATACCTAATGATGAATGATGATTGACGAAAAATATTTGCTTAAAAGTTTAAACTATACTAATTTATTATAGAGTTCCACAAATTAGTATCTAACGTTCAAGTTATATTCAAATCTGTTAATTAATTGGAAATATTACTTAAATAACAAATTTGTTTCTGAAGTATAATTAGACCAATTTACTTAAAATAATACCCCAATTCATGTTTAACCTGGTATGGGTAAACGTTAGCTGTATATAATATAATGAGAATAAAAACTAGAAATACCAAAATTGAGAAACATTCTGGCCATTATACATGTATATTAAATATATAGGTAGGTAATGATTTACATAAAAATTGTTTATATTATTTAGTTAAGAATATTCAATATCCATTGTATGGTGTAATTAGTAATTAGTAATTATTCTTCTTTGCATAAAATGTTAATAAATATCCAGTATTAATATCGATACCAAAATGGGAGTTTTTTAAATTAAGAGTTGGGTATTGTTGAACATTTAAAATTTGTTACAAGATGGTTTAATCGTTAATTAAAAATGTTAATAATAGTAAATAAATGGAAAATTCAAAATATAGATATAATTGAGTTAAAATATTTAAAACTTCAACAAAAATTAAAAACAAACCTCAAAACGATGTTAGTAAGAATGAGTCTTTCATAGTTTTGAAAATGAAACTGACGTACTTAACTTAACATTGAAAACATTTTTAGACGTTTAATGACATCTCTAGATATCGGCCAGTATTGGATGAAATGGTTTAATACATTTATGAAATATTTTTTTATTTTATCTTCAGTTTATATTGTATAGTATACCATAATATAATATTGTGTATTCAAATATAAAATAATTGTTTGCATTATACAAGCGAGTATAAGACAGCAGTGTGTCAATCTGTATGTGCTTATCTATAATATAACTTATAATAACTATAATTTAGTAAATTTTTCAAATCCATAACTTGCAGTTTGCACTGATCTTATTGTTAAATTATCATTTGGAGATAGTGTAATACAAGAGAGATAAAATATTAAAAAAAAAATTCATATATAAAAGTGTCTCTATAGTTTTGAATTTATTTTATCTTTAAATATAATTTATTTATTAAAAATATCTAGGATTCAAGTAAAAAAACTCGTTTAATTTATTTTCGTATATTAATTATTAACACTATCAACTACAAAATGCATACAAATAAATTCTATTATTTGAATTACAATTTTTAAATATTTAAAATTCATATTTAATTATCTATATAACTATATCAATAATAATTAGATAATATTCTTCAAAAAAAGGTGGAACTATGTATAAGTATATGTGTGTGATATGATTTCTGAGTGAGAGCCTTGGGCATCAGATCCGTCCTGGAAAGTATTGAGTATCTACATATTATTGTACTTTGAACACATAATGAACAATAATAAGATAATATAATATATCTATGTATACTTATATTATGTTTAAAAACCTATTATATCGTGCAGCTGCAGTGTTGGAAACATTATTTTTAATGATTTTACGTCATACATTTTTTTTAAATTCCATTGAATTGTACCTATAATGTAATTGCGAAAAAAATTACAGTTATTTTTGCTTATATCAAGAACTATGAGATTTAACTAATAATATTATCATAACGACAAAAATGCACTTATATTAGTTATTAACAAATTATATAGAAGGAAATTATCTATATATAGACTCAATATTTTCGCTAACTTTTTAATTTAAAACTCATCTACCCAGACACCCAGTATACCTGTATTCTGTAAGTATATAAATTTATATATTTATATATATAATTTATAATTTATATTAGGACTATTCATAAATAAATTGTAAAAACCAGTTATCTTGCGGCCACTTCGGACACTAAGAAAGAGTTTCCTTTTTAATTTTTTTCAAAGGAACGCAAGAAAGAACGTTTAAATTAATCATGTGACATAGCACTGCCCGAATTATTATGCAAATAAAATTTGTTATAGGTATCTGATTATCGTCTAAACGGTATAATACTATGTTATTTATACTTTATAGGTGTAGTACGTGTTTATATATGAGGTACTTGCGCGAGCGATAATTCGATTATATATTATTTTATCTGGCACTCAAGAGAAAAAAACACAATATGCTTGTACGATTACTCGAGCCACAGCATTAGGGCGTGTTTCCCGCTAACCATAATAATATAATATTATAATACTATAATATAGGTGTATCTATCATTATTATATTATGTATACCTACCTAAAATATAAAGAAATCGTGTATTTTATGAATGACGCGTCCTATAATAATGATTTGCCTACTACACAGCGGGTATAAACATTAGTAATATATTATAGTGCGTACTTTTGTTGTTACCGTGCCCGGTAACCGGTACTTGGTGGACTTCAGCGGTCGGGTTACCGGGTGGCGTGCCACGGCGGGGAGGGCCGCTCGCGCGGTACGGCAGCGGCGACCGCGACGACGATGATTATTACCACCTGATGACCGCTGCCGCCGCCGATGCGCAAGCGCACTTGTTTGCTCTCGTACAGGTGCCGCCGCCGGCCGTATGTCTTGTGTGTGTGTGTGTGCGTGTGTGTCGCTACTGCCGCCTCTGCTCTCGTGTCTGCCGGCGCGCGCGTCGTCAACGGTCAAACGTCCTTGCCGCGCTCCAGTTCGTCCGCGACAAGACGCGCGCGCAGTCTGTCGTTTCATACGCATGTCCGTCGCGCTCGTGTTTTTCCGTTGTTTTTTTTCCGATTTTTTTTTCTCAATAATAATAACGTTTTGAAAATTTTTTTTCGTTATCGTTGGAAAACGGTGGTTTACATTGATATCACAACGATTCATATATTTTTATAATGGTTAATATTATCTTCTCTTCACGCTTCGATATCGAAACGGGAAAAGTTTATCCTAAAAGAGGACGTTTATCCTCATCATAATAAGACAATATTGTGATCGGCTCGAATTCGGTTTCTTGTGTTTCTCTCTCTATGCAGTGATTACTTAAGACGTTCACATATCTAAAGAACATAACGCGCGTTTTTGTTTTTAAAATAACATATAAGCCGTTTTTTTCTAAAAAAAAGTGTTTTTGTTTTTATCAAGTGTACCGAAGACTATCATGCCGGTGATAACATGATGCGGGATTTGGACGCATCCAGCCCAGTCGTTTGGCCTCCATGGTGTTATTCAGGTAATAATATAAATCAATATAATATTTATATTAGAATAATATAAAAATATGAGCATCATTTCGTTTTTCATAATTGATTGTTCTTATTCATTGGATCTGGCGTTTCGTCTTTATACACGGCTTGTTTGTCATATGGTCTAAGCAATTAATCAAAATAATTAAATGTCAATCAAACTCCGAACTCGAGTTTAATATTGTGTAATTTCAGTTTTCGCGATATCAGTAGTGTAATACTTATATTGCACCTAATGAAGTACCTACCTGTCAAGACCCGTGACCTAAGTAATAGAAAAATCTGCCAGGTAGTAGTAAATATTTTAGAACTACGTGTTTTGAATTAATCTATTTATTGCTACCGGTATTAAAGCTAACCTTATAACCGTTTTAAATTTAATGTAAGCCGTAGAAGGGCGCAAACAAATCGCTTATATACCTATGTAAGTTCATCGTACAAATAATTATAATTATTGTAGTCAGCGAAGTACTTATATTTGAATTGACAATCGTACTTAGGCTACATTAAAAGTATGTAAAGTAATAGACGATATAAATCTAAATTTTACATCAGGTTTTTTCATTTGGAATAATTAAACTTTGATAAAGCACTCGAGCGTTTCAAAAACCGACATTTGTTATCTAAAGTCCCGGTTGTTCTATTATGAATAGGATAGGGTCATAAGTTCAATGGCCTTTCAATCCCATTAACTAGATATCATGTGTATGTTTTCTATTTGACCAGTGAATTCGGTTATCATTTTACATGAGGAGAGTACACTATAATAGTAGCTAGACATTATATTATTTAATATGTGTGTCCGTCAACTTGCTAAACAATGGTGTGATATCGACGTTCGTTTTCCCAAAAGATGAAAAATTACGATTAATTGCTTGTGATACGAACCATGGCATGGGTGGAAGGGGAAGGGTCTTAGGCATCATTTTTTTGATTAATAATTACTATTTCATCAATATTAAACAAGTTCCATAGTTTGATAGAGATCAATATAATATATTAATATTTAATACAACATATTATTATTATGTTGTAGACACAGATAATATTGACATATTTAAAACATACCTATATATTCTGTTTTAATATATTACGTACGTGTTATATGTTAATATTCTTTTAATGAGATTATCTATTACCTATATAAGAATTTCGTATTTGCGTTTCTAAACAAATACTACAATGACTTATGTCCGTGTTGGGGTCTGTGAATTCTCAGAGGCAGTAGGTCGTGAACAGATAACTAAATTGTTTTAAATAGTTTCCTCGATAGAGAATTGCATAATTTAATTTTGACCTTTATGGTCTCCGGGAGTGTGTATGAAATAATAGGAAAAAATATTATATCGGATAGGCGAACGCACGAGCACTCTGCAATCCTTGACCCGAAGACTTTTTAGACCATCACCCGTGTGACACATGACCCAATCGACCCGGTTCTTATCGATATATCCCTTACATGTGACGCAAAACTCTGAATTAGAGTAATTATTGTATATTATAAACTACGATAAATGTTGATGAAATTAAATTGGACTTTAAAAAGCTACATACCTACTTAAAAAATGTGGGGCTTATTCACGAGTGAATTGATAAGTAGATGTGCCATACAAAACTTTATTTTTTTTTCAATTTACTATTTTATTACTTTTTATAAATATTTATAATTATCTGTAAACCTGAACTATAAATTATAATATATATATATTATATGTACGTGTGTGTATTAAGTAATAATATTTAACTGTGTAATAATCCGGGTACCGTGTATATTAGTTGTATAACCTTTTTGATTACCTATTTGTTTTGATTAAAAGATGGAATAATATAATATAATATCTGATTAGTAATAGTAATAATAATTATAAACAAAAACGACTTTGTGTATTTTCAAAGTACACATATTATAATATTTGCTCAATAGCGTCTTATATAGTAACTCAATGTAGTGCATTTTGCGGTAAATATAATTTATCAATCTTCAAATATTATTTTAAAAATTAAAATTTCTATTAAGACCATAAACATATCAATATTTTTTTCTATCAATGTTATTGTCTTCAAACTTTTTCACTACGCTTAGTCCATATCTTTATTATTTATATACTGTTGGTTAAATAATGTTCGTCCGTAATTCGATGATAATATTTTCTAACAGATAATTTGTTACACAATAAATGTCTTGAATGTGAAGTGTCGTATAGAATAATAATGAATCGTGATCGGTGACAAAATCTAATTCATGTCTGACCATTTCTGGAAACAATGATATACCTATACCTATCTGAGAATGGCATTGCTTGTCAATGAGTAACATATGGGCATTTTAACATTGGGATATAGAAGTTTAGATCTAGTGTCACCTATATAATATGTTTAATAATGATATATTACTAAATCCGAGATTAACTAGGTGATTTTTGTTTTTCGATTACCTACTATAGAGATGTGTTGAGCTGTTCAAAATATATTTAAATAATAATAATATATATTATAAGTTCTGGTTTTGCAATATTCCACAGTCACGTGAACCGTATAATAACGCATGTTCATCGCAGTCAAGGTAACCGCGAATCGGTACGTCTCTAATTATGTTCGTATACCACTATACCTACACATTTTGTGGACTCGTTTTAGCCGAAGTTCGTTTTTTTCATCCTATAAACAAAATATAAGTACCTTTTCGTTTATCTGTGTGTGTATACCAGCACAACCTTAATATTACTCATGATAAATGACGATTTATGTACCACTCTGTATTTCTTAGGAATGTCTTTAATTAGTTGTGTTTAGTATGATGATTTGATCTCTACCTAACCCCGAGGGAATCTAATGAGATGTTCACGGTCAAAAATAAATACACACTTATGTGTGTACTAAAAAATGATGTTCGCTAATAAATCAGCAGTTTAAAAAAAAACCACCATTGCTCTTTTTATAAACTCTGGATGGGTAAACGAGCGGAACGAGTAAAATAAATTTGAATACGGACGTTAATTTATTTCAGTGAAAGTAGTGTTGCATTTCAGAGAAGAAGGCAACGTCGAGATTTCGTATATTTATTATAAAAAACGCGGTTTTTGGGATGTTTTCTATTATAGGACATTTCTTTAAATGGATAAAAAAAAAATTGAGAAATCGATTTAAATTTTATGCTTGGAGGTCAACTACGTTAAAATAAAAAAATTAAATCATATCGTTGGTCATCTGAGATAAGCTATTTATGAAACCCTATCATTATTATAGTACAACATTACAACTGGTCTACAAGAAAAAACCCGTCAGCAAATCAGAGCGACGATACACAGCGGGGATTTGTAATGGAAAAAAGAAGTACCTATACGGCTGTACCTATGGTATAAAGTATAATAATGATGAAGGGAAAAAAAGAAGATGGAAAGAGTAGGGATTGTTTTAAGCACAGACGAAACTGGATTACACTTATATTATACATAGACTTACGAATGTACTCACACACAACCTGTCACACTATATACTGGCTGAACTGGTCCGATGATAAACCGCGGCAATAAATATTTAATTTGATGTCATTTTTTTTTTATCGACCATCAAGTTCGCTACCTTTTAATTACGTACTGGACGAAATATTATCAATTATCATTAATATAAATGCATATATGTCCATATACTGTCTCGACCACGGCTCTAGCTAAGAGCGGCATATCGACAATCGATTATTATATTTTTTATTTTGGTTGATTCGTACTAAAAACTATGAAATATTATTTACTATATATTAGTTAAATGATTAATATTTTACAAGATTTTTTTTAATTTTGAAATGGAAAAATGTGTATTTCTAACATACAAACTACCTAACTAAACGGTTTACATTTATAATTATTATATTGATCCACAATGGTAAATATTACCATTTACAACGTAAATTCAGTAAAATATCAACAAAAAAAAAAGATTGACATATAATTCTATGTTAGTATATTTCTCTCCTTTGTTTTGAAAATATAACGAAACCAGGTACAGTTGTAAATGCTTTAATCATACATTTTAAGTACTTATATATTAGTAAAAGCGTAACAAAATTAAAACTACATATTTTGGTTTTAAATAATAATTACAGTAGGAAAATTAACATTACCTCGTTAACCATAAAGTTTAAATAAGATTCCACTTGGTAAAATAGCGTAAAAGAATTAAAAAAATAATGTAAGTACCTAATAATTGAATAATATAACTGTTGAATGTTGTATAATTAGGATCTTTATGCTTTATGAAACAAAGTCACTGGATATTTTTATTAAAATTTTTGCAGTTATGATGTCTTTGCTGTATACGAATTGTTTTTAATGCCAAATTTTTATTTATTACGATTTATTTGTCATTACAATAATTTTTTTCTTGCGCAAATATGTTTTTTTCTTACAACAATAATATGAAATTACACCCATAGCATCGGCATAACTGTTGAAATAATATAACAAAATATTATACAGAATTGTTTCAATAAAATAAACTTATCATTTAATCAGCTTGATTGAGTTTAGATTAATTTGAAGGATTTGAATCTTGACCTGTTTAAAGGTTTTAAATGACAATATATAGATATAAAATATAAATAAATTAGACCAAAACTATAATGACTTGTAAAATATTTTATCTATTGTCTAAAAACACAATTTGTTGTTTTTCTTGATAGCCTATCAAAAAGTACTAATCTTCAGTTCCCTCAAAATCCGAAAATTAATAAAATATAATATTGGATTAATAAAGTATTTTTTATAATTCAAGCGTAACAAGAAATACAAATGTATAATAAACAGAAATTATTGACAAATAATGTCATCATATTAAGAAAAGAATGTTTAATTTATGATAATTAATAACACGCCATTACTATATTGTGCACTTAGTTATTATTTATTTAAAATATTTAGCGTTATTTTAGCTATTAATAAAAAAAAAGATGTATACACGTTTTTATATATTAATGTTGATAATCTTATTA